AGCTTATAGAAGCACCTCCGTTAAAAAAAAAACTTTAGGAGCACCTAATGCAAACATACTTTCCTTCACTCTTTACTTTTGGCGCAAACCCACAACAAATTGAAAGGAAAACATGTCAAATCAGCTCTATTGACAACATCAATTCTAGCAAAGTATCAAATCCCACATACTATCTTCAAGCAAAGAATGAGAACAGAAAATTTTATAGCATCCTAGCAGGGGGGCAAAAATATAAGCCTAACAAAAAACTGAACCATTGAAGGATAGAACCAGTGTGTGCCTCTACTTCAGCCCTTTCTCATCTTTTTGTCTTACGTCACCAAAAGAACAAAGATATTAAATCAAGTTATCATTGTCTTGATTTCAATTTTTTTTTTTAGAGTTATTTTTCTATTTCCCAATTAATAAAGAAAGTTTACATTTGTTTTGTTGGATTCAGTAATTTCTGAGTTTTTGAGGTATGATAGGGAGTGGAAGTCAAAGAACACTACTTTTTATTCATATAGTTAAATCAAACTTGAAATCTTAACCTAATCCTTTTCAGGTGAGCAATACAAGAGCAACTGTCTGATAAAAAATAAAGATATTATCATTATGGATTCAAAACTAATCCAGCACTCTTTTATTGATTCTTTCAAATAAAGGTGAATAATTATCAGGGGTGGCCCTGTATATTTGAAGACCTACAGGCGAATAATTTAAAATGGACCTAATTAAAAAAATTGTAAAACTCATTTCTGTCTAAATTAACATGAAAAATAATAATATTTGAAGACCTTTATTATAAAGATAATAATATTTATCCAAATCATTTTTTGGTTGCTCACATCAACTCCTATATTCTCACATCCTATGAGTTTCGTTTTCGGTAGCTGAATCATTCTTCTCCTCTAAGTTCTTATCTTTAGGAGGACCTTCAGAATTTCTCTTCTTCATAAAAACAAACTTTTCCATTGAACCTTTTTGACTTGGGGCAACATTATCTAATCTTCTCTTCTTCATTTTTTCTCACATCCAGATTCACCCATTTTTATTAAACCTTGAAATTGGTTAAATTTATAAATTAATTATAAATTATAACACCAAATTATAAATTTTACCTAACAAAATGAACAAATTATAACACCAACACTCAATAGGTAACAATCAACACTTAAGAGATTAACATGTAACAAATCAACTAATTATTTGTCAACTATTCATAATCATTTATAAACATTTAACAGATATGAATTCAATCAATATATCAATTAATAAACTGGTCACATAATCATATGCTCGTATAATCGTATTAGTTAAATAAATTAATAAAAGAAAATGTTAAAACCTGTAATTTTGTAAAAGTGCAAAACAATGGACAATGGCCGAACTGCCGGAAGTCGGAACGTGTACCTGATAACCAGAACTCTTGAAAGCTTGGAGCTGGAGACTGGAGTGCTGGACGCCGACTGGAAGGCTGAACGGAACTGCTGAACCGCAGAAGGGTTGAAAAGAGCCTGTAGGCGTGTAATTAGTTGCTCTGTGTTTTTATTTGGGCTTTTGGGCCGGTTGTACTGCACAAATTTTTTTGTGGTAATTACCCGAATGGGTCAGTTTTACGAGTCACATTTCATTTTTTTCGAAAGGAAAATTGATGTAAATTAATTCAACTTATCGTTCTCCAATTGGAGTACAATGCTATCAGATGGGAAATCATAAATAAAATAACTATCCGGCATTGAAAGAGACGCCCTTGCCAATGAATGAGTTGCTCTGTTTGCGGATCTTTTACAGTGTACTAGTATAGTACCCGTGCATACGCACGGGAAAAAACGGTTGGTCATATATTTTATTCACTATCTAATTAAATATTAAAATAATTTTTTTTTAATTTTTAGGATTCTACATTTTCGAAAAATAAAAGTACAATAAGCTAATACCATAAAATATAAATTCATACAATAAATATTCAATGAAGAGTATATTAGGAAAAATTAATTAAACACCACTCATTAGAATTTGCTACTTATTAATTTTTATGATTAAATTAATTTTAAATTTAAATACTAATCTAAAAAAGTGAATGCAATAAATATTAAAATTAATGAATATTACGTACTCCGTATTAGTTATATTAGAATTTGTTGCTCATTAGTTAAATTAGTGCTAGCATATGAGAGGACAATTATCCTACCCAATTCTTAGTTCGCTTATCTGATACAAAAAGGAACTACATATGAGAGAAAATTCTCTAACTCGATTGTTAGTTAGCCGGATTAGCTAATACCTAAAAGCACTACAGCTTAATTGTTAGCCGACTTATTTTATACTTAAAAATTTACATATACAAGAATTCTATATTCAATTGTTAGCAAGTTTATCTTCTAATACATATAAGCATTACATATGAGAGAGAAAATTTCCACGTTCAATTGTTAGTCGGCTTTTGTTATGTTATACCTAAAAGAACTACATATAGGCGAAAAAAATCTCACTTATTTGTTAGCTAGACTATCTTATACTTAGTACTTAAAAAGATTTACATGTGAGAGAGAAAGTTTCATTGCTCAATTATTAGCAAACTTATGTACTTATACCTAGCTAAAACTCTTACATATGAGAGAGAATAATTCTTTTGCTAAATTGTTAGCCGGAAATTTATCTATTAGTACCTAAAAGAACTACATATTAGAGAAAAATTGCCCGCTCAATTATTAGCCGATTTGTCTTAAACCTAAAAGCGTTATATATGATAGAAAAAATTCTTCTTCTCAATTATTAGTTGGATTATTTTATACCTAAAAACTACTTATGAGAGAGGAATGTTTCTCGCTCAATTATTAGACGGGTTATGGCTTATTCTTTCTTATATCTAAAATCTTATATAAAAAAGCACTATATATGATTAAAAAAAATTATACGCTCAATTGTTAGGTAACTTATCTTACCAATGAATGAGTTGCTCTGTTTGCGGATCTTTTACAGTGTATGACTTCTAAACTAGCTTCATTGCGAAGAGTGTGTTAATATCCTCTAGAATTGTGTCAAAGTAAGAATCCCCTTCCCAATCAACGATACCTGAAGCTAAGCTGCCATCAAGGAATCCGTTTCTACCGATACTCGCTCCCAACGTTGTTCTTTGATCCACGTGAGCGCTTCCCGAACTCCTATAGCTTCTGTTATCGCCGCCGTCCAGTTGGCCTGTACTATTCGGCTGCCGCCCGCTAGGAATTCTCCGTGATCATCTCTGGCTATCCACCCACAAGCCCGTTTGTCTCTTCCCTCCTCCAGAGCTGCGTCGATGTTAACTTTGATGTAGCCCGCTGACAGCCTTTTCCAGCGCGAGACCAGCTCCCTGGGCTGCTGTTCTATCTCCTTCCGGTGTGCCTCCAGCCAGTTACTCAGCATGCTCTTTACTTCTTCCATAATCTGCCGCCAACCTATTCATATATTTTTCCACGTCTTCCCGTTCCGAGCTTTCCATATAGAGACGAGTCACATTTCATTTATGTCCCAACACTATATATCTTTCATATATAGATTTCATCTTTTCACCTATTTCTTTTTATTTCAAAAATATTCTATACATCCAGATCTGCTACCTCATCGGCTCATCTCCCATCTCGTCTCCCATTCTCATCTCGCCACATACCAAATAAATTGCCGACTTCCGCCAATCTCTATATCTCTTATCGTATATCTCTTATTCTCTTATCATATAAATGTGAATAATCTATGCGGATGAGGAACACTTGTGCTTTCTCTTCCATTGCGATTTCAACTGCATATATGGACGAAGTTCTACGGATTCATTCAAGGAATCCCTAGAAATGGCTTTGCAGAGGATCAACTCAAGCTCAAATGCTTCCCTTACACTCTCAAAGGGGCGGCAAGAGGATGGTTCCTAGAGCAAGCTCCGACAAGCTACACAACATGGGAAGGTATATACAATGCCTTCATGTCTAAATACCACACACCCACCATGACTCAAGAGTTTAGACAACGCATTTTTAACTTCAAACAACAAAATGGTGAGCCTTTTCAAGACGCATGGCGGCGTTTTAAATCATTGCCAAGGGAATGCCCACACCACCGCATTCCCCCTGATCTTCAGTTTGATACGTTCTACAATGGTTTGAATGCACCTTGTCAAGCCATTGTAGACAACCGAGCCGAGGGCTATATTGGAAACAAGAATGAAACCGAGGCACTCCGAATCATTGAATCCATTGCCTCGAACCCTCAACTTCAAGGAGGCGATTACAAGGTGGTCGGAATGAATGGAATCTCTATCACAACCGAGATCAACAAAAAGTCTTGAACAAATGGAGTAAAAAAATTGAGCAGCAATGTAACACCGTTCCCAATTTTATTTACCTTTAAGTAAATAATGTAATGAACCTTGTTAAATGGTTAATAAATTTACGAAGTTGTAAATTTCTATTATTTCTTTCGCGTGAATAATAAATTGCACGTGGGGCCCACACCGGGAGCGGGGGCCGCCCGACATTCCTGAGACCATATATTTTATTCATCTTGGTCTAGATAATAAATATATAGTGGTGGATATTTCATTTGGGTCATGGAAAGGCCCAAAGTTGACCGATTGGTCAAAAGAAGCCCAAATTACAGGTACTGGTAATTTAACAGATAACAGCCCGAACTGAATTTCGGAGGCTTATAAATTAAAGTTGAGGAATGTATATTCATTATACACGCCATAATGAGTAAGATCACATGATATATTTTATTTGACCCAATAAAATAAAATATATTTAAAACAGTCCGAAAAATACAACTTTCAGGACCGATTGTACACACCGGGACACAAAGGGATGACCTCCCACATGAGTGGGGGCCACCCCACGTTTTTTTGTGCTAGATTAGACAAATAGGAGCTGGATTTGACTAAGGAAGGTGTGGAGGAGGAGGCTTTGGCATCAAAGGTACACCCAAAGGGGCCCTTTTCCTCACTCATTTGCCAAATGAGGCAAAGAGAGACATCCCCTCCCATCCTTCACTCATTAGCTCGACCAAGCACCAAGGAAGAGGAAAGAAACCTCTCAACTCATCCTCCATAGCCACCAAATTCGAGATCAAGCTTAAGTGCCCAAAGAAGGAAGATTAAAGAGGGAAAAAGTTGGGAAAAGTGTGAAGAATTAAGGTAATGACCTTATTATAACTTCCTCTTCATTTTTCTTCTACCACATGAGGTATATATCATGTGAAGGACCCTTAGTATGGTTCCACATGTTATAAGTATGGATTTATGGGTTGGAAGATGGTTCTACGTCCAAGATCGGACTTAGAAGCCAAAACGACCGGTTCACCGGAAAATAGCCTTTTAGAGGTTATTTGTATTAATATGGGTTTTATGATTATAAAACCTTGTTAGGCACTTGTAAAAGGCATTTAAAGTGATTTCACAAAGTTGGAAAAGTCGCCGGAGTTGTCGCCGGAGTTTCACCGGAGTTCAACCAAGAGGGGTAGAACTTCATAACGCTAGTTCAAGGTGAGTGGACGGCTTAATATCTTAAAACTTTTGGGTTAATGATGAGATTACCTAAATAAATGTTATATGTGTTCATAATGATGTTTAAAAGATGTTTAAACATGTGATTAGCCAACACGGTTAAGTTTGTATAAGAGAAATTTAATTGTTTATGCATGGAATATGATATGAAGAATCATATAAAATGCACATTTGTTTGAAGTGTAAAAGAAGCACAAATTAATATTATTAACTTAATTATATGATGATTAAGTTGATATGTACAAGGCTTGAAATGGCGGTCAACGGCAACGTTGACCGATGGATAATGGATTAATTAATATCGGTTGATATTAGTTAATTATAAATTTATGTAAGTGCATGGCTTTGCATGGATTGTGATACATAAGATTTATGTATTGAATTAGTTATGAATGACTAAGTATGATATAGACTCTATCTAGGTTGATAGGAGGTTGATCATAGGATTATATTTTGGTGGAGGACCCTAGGACTTAAAAGTCCTTCACACTCGGATTATAAATTGGTGGAGGACCCTAGGACTTAAAGTCCTTAACACTCGGATTATAAATTGGTGGAGGACCCTAGGACTTAAAGTCACTCGGATTATAAATTGGTGGAGGACCCTAGGACTTAAAGTCCTTAACACTCGGATTATAAATTGGTGGAGGACCCTAGGACTTAAAGTCCTTAACACTCGGATTATAAATTGGTGGAGGACCCTAGGACTAAAAGTCCTTAACACTCAAATATAAATTTGGTGGAGTACCCAGGGATTATGATCCTCAAAATTCATAGACTATGATATTGAAATAGGGACAAGGAGGAGTCCTATACACTCATATGTATATGGGTGGGTTGGGGTTTTTCGTCAAGAATATTGACTATTACTATTGTTCCCAAATAAAACGGTGATCTACGGATCGGATATTTTCCAAATATATATATATATATATATATATATATATATATATATATATATATATATATATATATATATATACACTAATAAGTATTTCATAACTTGGGGAAAGACTATCTATATAAGTATCACCCTACGTTTGGGTCTTATATTTGAAACGCTAGTTATTCTATATTTAGCCTGCTACTCGCTCGGTACTTGTACTGACCCCTTCGGGGGCCCCCACCATTTTTAAGTTGAAGCTAGGGCTTGCTACCTGCACCTTCTTACGGGTGATATCAACTTCAGGAAGACGTGGTTCGTGCTTCCTTATTTTCTTTCAAACTACCGAACACATGCTCATGGATATTTGTTCTACTATAAACTATTTTTGGGACTTGCATGCCCATGTTGTTGACCGGTTGTGGCTTATGACTTACCGTTGAATATTTCCGCTATTCATTGGTTTAAATGTGATGTTGTTATGTATGTTTACTACTGAGTATGGATGAATTATTTTCTCGAACGCTTTGTGTAATTAAGTTAGGTTGACTCGCGGGTGACGTCACTCGATTATACGGCGGTTATACACGCGCTTGGATTGCGGTATGGGGCGTGACAAGAAATTTCAAACGGCGATGAAAATACTTGATAATGTCCCAAATATGACTCTTAAATCTCTATATAACACGCATTGGGAGAGTCGGATAAAAAGTGTCAAAGCTATTAGATTCCAAGCTCCACAAATAAGGTTGGCTTTGTTTGAAGTATCCAAATCATGTGATGATGCTAAATCAAAGAGTGAAACAGAAAGTTTGGTGAGTGCACTTTGAAGCTTTGAATTTTTATTTGGTATTGTTATTTGGTATGCCATTCTATTTGCAATTAATACAATGAGTAAAAAGTTGCAGTATAAGTCAATGTGCATGATACCACCATGAAACAAGTTGAGAGTATGATATCATTTTTTTGAGCAATACAAAGATGAAGGGTTTGTATCAAGTATGAATATTGCCAAAGATGTAGCATATGAAATGAATGTATAGGCTTCATTTCCTGTCAGGCGGCGTAGTACAACAAAGAAACAGTTTGATGAAAATAGTAATGAAGAAACAACCCTATCAGAAGAAGAATCATTTATAATTAATTATTTCTTAATGATAGTGGATATGGCAGTTTCTTTATTAAATAAAAGATTTGAACAATTGAAAATTTTCGAAAATATATTTGGATTTTTATATAACTGAGAGAAGTTGAAGTCTTTGAGTTATAATGAGCTAAGAGAATGTTGTACTAACTTTGGTAATACTTTTCTCATAATAATGTTGTTGATGTGGATTTAAAGGATTTTTTTCAAAAATTAAAAGTGTTGCATATGACTTTGCCTCACACCTCAATGTCTGAACTTGAAATTCTTGAGTTTCTTAAGGACACTGATTGCTATCCAAATGCTTCCATTGCTTATCGGATCTTGTTGACCACACCGGTGACAGTAGCATCCACAGAGATGAGTTTTTCTAAGCTGAAACTACTGAAGGTCTATCTGCGGTCTTCGATGTCCCAAAAAAGGCTAAATGGCTTAGCGATTTTATGCATCAAGTAAGAGATGTTGGGAAGTATTAATCTTGATACTATTATAGATGATTTTGCCTCTAAAAATGTTCGAAGGAATATCTTTTTGTAAATTGTGTTGTTATTTGATGAAAGACTTGCATTACTTTGTATGTTCAAAATTGTTGATATGTAGTTAAGCTTTTGCAATATATTTATATAACATTTTAAGAGTTTTTTTTTTGCAATCGCCCCCGGCCCATAAAATGTGTTAGGGCCGACCCTGTTTAATAATAGAGTTGATTTTTGTACCAAAGGGCTTCTTTTTATTTTCATAATTCTACACGGTCTTTTATTTTATTATTAACATTAGGATAAGTAGATGTGACTTGCATCTCTTAGCATTGAAAAAGTATTTTAAAATGGATATTCTATTTTTCGAAATGACTTGTGCTAAAAAAGAATAACACTTAGTACTTACACAAACTTTACAAAATTGGATTTTAATTCGTCTTTAGCTACGCTTGTGTCAAACAACTATTTTAATAATATATAAATGACTTTTTGATTTAACCACTACAAAAAAACACGGTCGTAGTCACGGACTTAGTCACGGACAGCAGTTCAATTTTTCCGTGACTAAATGATGTAGTCACGGTCGCTGGCCGTGACTAAATCCGTGACTTAATGGGCGTGACTAAATTGAAGTCACGTCCAACGGACCGTGACTAAATTTAGTCACGGACTAGTCACGGTCAGAAGCCGTGACTATAATACCCGCCGGAACCCCACTCCGGCGTATTAGTCACGGTCAGAAACCGTGACTAAGTTTTTTTTTTAAAATTAATTTTAGTAGTCACGGCTTTGGACCGTGACTAATATTTCAAATTTTCAAATTGAGTAAAAGACCGCCCGCGGCGGTAATTTAAAATTTTGAAATTAGTCACGGTTGTCGACCGTGACTAATTATTTTTTTATTTAAAAAAATAATAATTTCGGATTAATAATAGTCACGGATAAGCCCGTGACTACTTTTTTTGTTTTTTTAAAAAAAAAATCCAGTTTTCGTTTTTTTTTTTTTTAAATTTTTTTAAAAATTACTTTTTTAAAAACGGAAGTTTACAAATTAAATTTCAAAATGTTTTTTAAAAAATGAGTTATTGAAAATATTATACTATTTTTTTTAAAATAAATACATTTTAAGAATAAAGACATACAACAAATTCAATAAATATTGTGACAAACTTTTAAAAGTTTTGAAATACAACAAATAATAAATGTATGATGATTACATGTCCCGTGGGACTCCATTATGATAAAAATTGGGATTTTCTTCTTCTTCTTCTTCTTCATCATCAACAAGAAACTCATCTGGGTTCACGGGGGGGTCTTCAGGGTCAACTCGGGTTCCTCCTCGGGGTGCTCCTCGGGGTCCTCCTCGGGGTGCTCCTCGGCCTCCGTGGCTCGGCGTGCCACTACCTCCTCCGGATGACCTCGCAAAATCAAAGGACATAGAACCGAAATTCGGGGAGATCATAGGCATGCCACCATATCCGGAGTTGGGGAAAAATCCCATACCGCCCATGTGCGGAACTTGAGGAGTTTGCTCAGGGTGGAATACGTACGGGGGAGGAAAAGGCTGTTGCGGAGGCTGGAATCCAGCACGCATGTACCGTTCCATCTCCTCCAACCGGGCTTTTGTAGCAGCATCTGCTTTCCGCTGCTCCTCCCATCGCCGTTCGTGGTCCTCCAGTTCACGCTGCATTGTGGCAATACGGGGATCTTCTCCCCGCCTTGACCGAGAAGAGGAAGCGCCGGTGCTTCGATCATACAAAATCCGTTGCCCCTCGGCCCCTAAGCACGGAACCCGGCCCTTGTAAACCCCGGCCGCCTCAATGGCCGCCTCATCATCCGCATCGGAATCGAGGTCGTCCTCCTGGGTCAAGCCTCGTGCCGCACGCTGCCTGTCGAGGGATTCGTTGTACTTCGTCTGCATTTTCAAAAAGATTTTTTAAATGCTACATACTTAGATTTTAAATGTTACTAAATAACAAAATATGATGTTACATACTTCGAAGTCAGCGAGGCGGGGTGGCAAATCGGCTTCAGATTCCTCGCCGTGCCTCGTCCAGCAATGCTTGACGAGCCGGAGAACATCAACCTTCTTCTTCTCAGGACCAGCCTAAATGGTGTGAAAAAGACTTAAATTAAATTTTTTATAATAAAGGAATGTGATGTTGTAAGGTTTTTTGAATAGCACTTACAAGAGTTTCTTTATGGGCATTCTGAGATTTACGACCTCCGTGCCACTGCATCTCCAAGGCCTTCTCGGACATCCGGTTTTTCTTACCGGATTCACTTCTGGCCAAGAATTTCGGATCAGAAGACCAGTGGCGACAAAGGTTGGACCACACTTCATCCGAAACCCATCTAGGCTTTTTCCCACTTTTTCGCGCCCGTTTAAAAGTGGCGCGAAGCCAGGTCGAAATCCTAGCATTGTAGGCTTTAAGAATATCGGCACCGTGTGCGTGAGTCCAACGATAGCGAGCCTTTATTAAAACAAATTGGATTAATTAATCACCAGGTATATATTAGGCCAATACAATCAGGAAGGGAACATTCATTTATTTTTACCTTGAACAGGTTCCACCATAGTTCGCGAACCTTGGGGTCAACATCTGACAGTGTGGCCCAAGTGCCAAGAAAGTGTCCTCCGATGATGTTTTTGATGCCCGTGAACACTTGTTCGTCACTTAAAAAATTAATAGTATTTATTTATATAAGATTTGGTTTGATTATTTAACATTATATAAAATTATTGAAAATAAGGTTTTTCATAACTACTTACAAAAGAACTTCTGCAGGCGTCACCCAAACAGCTCCATCATTGTTGCGCTCCGCTTCGGACATAGGCGCATGGTTAGGGCGGGGAGCCGAGGTCGATTGTTCGTTGCTCATCTAAAATATATTAATTTATTTTGTTTTTTGTTAGAACGCTTATAAAAGTTTGAGGTGTGCTTACTAAAGGTCCATTAAAGTTTGGGGTATATTTATTATTTTTTACTATAAAAATTTATACAAGTATTATTAATTGAAAATGTGTATAGCATATTAAACTATTTTTAGTTTAATATGAGGGGTCCATATTTTTTCATAATAAGTTCTTAAATAATTTGGTAATAAATTGCACTTGGAGGTAACATGTTAAACTTTTTGCAAAGTTTACATGAGAGGAGATCATTTTTTTATGTTTTAGATATATCATTTTAAAATAAATTTAAAACAGTTTGTTAAATCAAGTTTTACAAAAAACTATTTTTAAAAATAATCTGTTTAATAAAAGAGTTTTTAAAACAGTTGTTATTAAAACAGTTTTTACTAAAACAATTTTTATTAAAACAGTTTTTATAAAAACAGTTATTATAAATACAGTTTTTATAAAAACACTTTATATTAAAACAGTTTTTATAAATACTGTTTTTTAATAAATACAGTTATTATAAATACAGTTTTTATAAAAACAGTTATTATAAATACAGTTTTTATAAATACTGTTTTACAAAAATCTGTTTAATAAAACATTTTATATAAAACAGTTTGTATATATCAATTTTTGTAAAACCGGTTTTTTTAGATAAATTATAAAAACAGTTTATATTAAAACAGTTTGTATAAAAACAGTTTTTATTAAAAACAGTTTTTATAAAAACAGTTTTTATTAGATTAATTTTAAAAACAGTTTATATAAAAACAGTTTGTATAAAAACAGTTTTTATAAACACAGTTTTAATAAAAACAGTTTTCATAAAAACACTTTTTATTAAAACAGTTTTTATAAAAACTGTTTTTTACAAAAATCTGTTTAATAAAACATTTTATATAAAACAGTTTATATATATCAATTTTTGTAAAAACAGTTTTTTTAGATAAATTATAAAAACAGTTTATATTAAAACAGTTTGTATAAAAACAGTTTTTATAAACACAGTTTTTATAAAAACACTTTTTATTAAAACAGTTTTTACAAAAATTTGTTTTTGTAAAATTTGTTTTTATAAAATTTGTTTATAAAAATTTGTAAAATTAGAATTAAACATGTTAAGTTTTTGAAAGCTTAACATGAGGGGGCAATTTTTTTTTAATATTTCGGGTTAACCATTGAGAGGCATGCATATCACACACTAATCATATATATTAAATATTATTAATCATGCATAAGAACATATACTACACATATAATAATTTAAATCATTTAAACATAATTATCATGCATACAAAACATATAAATCATATCATGCATATGAAACATATAAACTAAAACAGTGTTTTGCCAAGTTTTTTTTGCATACGAAAAAATCTACATATATTAACATATAAATAATCTACATTTAACATATATTAATCATGCATACGAAACATATAAAATGAAATTAACATGCAAAACTACAAATCATGCATATAATAAATCATACATATAACTTTTGAAGATTACAAAATGATATGAAACTAAAATTCGTGCATCTTATCATGCATTTGAAGAAGGGTAATCAAATATTGGAATTTTAATCAAATAAGATGAACAAACACATAACCTTGACTGAAGAAGGGCCGACGGAAGAAGGTGGACGAAGGCGGCCGGAGGACGACGGCGGACGGCTAGGCGTTGACGGCGGCAGCTAGGCGGCGACGGCGGACAGCTAGGCGGCTGACGGCGGACGGCTAGGCGGCGGCGGCACTGTCTAAACTGGAAGAGAGGGAAGAGAGAAGGAAGAGGAAGTTAGGGTTTGGGAGTTGGGTGCGTAGGTTTTTAAAAAAAACGCTAAGTGTTCGTTTTATATAAGGGTTTAGTCACGGTCATAGTCACGGTCCGGACCGTGACTAAACCCTTCGTAATTGACGATGTCAGTGCCGACGGTCAGAGTCGCCATTAATCAGAATAGTCACGGTCAGAACCGTGACTATGACCGTGACTATTTTCAAATTTTGAAAATAGTCACGGTCATAGTCACGGTTCTGACCGTGACTATTATTGTCAGCGCCACTCTGACCGGCGGACTGACTTCGGCATTTACGAAGGGTTTAGTCACGGTCCTGACCGTGACTAAGACCGTGACAACTTGGAATTTTTTAGTATAAATAATCTTTCTCCGGCCCAAGACTGAACTGTAAAAAAAAATGGCTAATAGAGGTCCAATTGACTGGGATTCGATGTGTAG